TCCTACAAGAATAGGTGACGTCTCATCGAATATCTGTGATTTCAAGCTAAGTAATAAAATGAAATATGATTTTTCTCCTCGGTGAAACGATACCTCTTCTTAACGGACTACCTGGAACCTAAGATTTGTCCCCTCCTTTGTGTTTCTTCACATGCGAGTAGAAATTAATCTGGTCATAGAGCTATATATATATATATATATAGATGTGTGTGTATTTATAAGTGTCACCATTATTAATAGATGTAGATCTTTTGGTGCCAAAGGTCTTGAAAGAGCATGTTTCCTTCGTCGTGGGACACGGAGTGAAATTTACGTTCTCATCTTAAGAAAATATAGCAATTAAGAAATTTTGAGAGACTTTGATGTTAGCATAGAGTTGCGTTTTGCGACAGTAATTTCATCCTTCTGAACTTCTGGTGTGAGAGTAGCTGAGAATATGAATCCTTGTCTACGCCGCCTACGGACTCCCGAACGTAATTTGAACCTGAACCTGAGGATTATCGTTGCATATCATTTCTTGCCTGAATGAAGTCGACTGACCAATAAACAATATTTTCCAGAGCCATGATTTCCTTGAAACTCAAGGTTTCTACTTGAACAAAGTGTTATAATGATATCAGGAGATAAATCTAGGCCAATTCTCCTCCTAGACCACCTGGTGTTGTTGGAAGTTCTTGAATTTGAGAGAAGAAAAGAAGGGACCTCTTCACTCTTTCATCTCTTCTTGTAAGACGTTTAACCTTTCCGATTAAGAAGAAAATACTTGGGGCAAATGTGATTGTACCTTTTGATTGATCTATCCCATGAGAAAACTACAGTCATATGGTTCACGTAACATAACTCTTTGGCATATGTTTGAATATTTTCATGCTCTGAATACAGTCCCTTATGTGCTCTGCATCCATTTAAAATTTGGGTGACTTTTTAGATCTCCCGAGAATATCGGCAATAGAGGATCAAGACCAAGTTCAAGGCCATATGATCAACGTACTCATCTCCCTCCAGACCTGAACCAGCCATTTCTCCTGGAGTCTTCCTTTTGGATTGAGATAAGCGTGATCCAGAAATTATTTTCTAATCAAGAGTAAAAAGACGTCAAGTTCTAAACTTTCTCTGGAATGAGTTCTTAAATGGGAGAGGCTATCTGTACCACTTATGGAGGATGGAATACGTTCTCTTCATCAGATGATATGGAATACGCGTTAATTTCTCACCAAAATGAAATAATATTTTATGACAATATTATTTGTTGAGGGCTGATGCTTTTACTCGAGACAAAAGGGCATGCTGTGCATACTACGATTAAAATATAATGAAACTAAAAAAGGAGAGACGAATTCAGATAAAATATTTAAATATAAACATCAATTTCCAATAATTCCAAATTAACATAAAAATTATATTATCTCAAAATATTGTAGCTTGATTATTAAGTATATTTGTAATTTTGATTAAATTATGTCTTACCATATCGAAAGACGTCATGGCACCGCTGTCGAAAATAATGGCATTGGAGGGATTTCCAACCGGAAGCATGAAAGCAAAGGAACATACGATCGTCACGGGTAATAAAAAATACAGAGGATGAATAGAGATGGCCACTGCCTGTAAATATGTTATTCTATTTTAAGAAAATTTCCTCCAGAGAAATATTATATGAATTTTCAATATATTAACAAATATATTATAATTTGATAATAATAAGTACAATTGTACTTCTTCGTCCAGATATATAGAGTAGCATCTTTTTTACCAGACATTTGCCAACAATATTGATTCGCGTGACTGGCATCCGTCTTGGCACTTACAAAACCTTCGTTTTACTTTGTGGTAAGCCTGTTAGATATTGGGAATATCACAGTATTGGTGTAATATGGCTGCCGTAATTAGCGAACCAACGATTAGTTATTTCGCGGAATAACAAGAAAGAGAGAAAGAAACATTTAGCTTCACGTAATAGGAAGAAAACATTAGATACTTTATGCTTATTCAGAAATTTGTAAGACAACGTTACGTGTAATTGAGTTTTCATTCAGTACTATGTGATTTCGTTAATTCTTACCATAAAAAGAATTTAGTGTAAAAATTAACGGCGCGTTATTGCTAATACGACTCTTAATAATCCGGCCTACCCACTTTTGTTTAATATAAAAATTAATGTCAATCATTCTCTTCTTCATTTAAAAATTCATAGATTTAATAAAAATACATTTTCTAAAACTTTATATCAATAGTATTTTATACACGAAATTGTAACAATTAATTATTGAATATTTTGAAATTTTTCTGCGTAACCATAATTTATTGCAGTAAGTTTTGTGTTAAATTTAAGTAATCCTACACGTTATTCGTAAAGTGACCGTAAGCAAAAAAAAAGTAAAGTCGATCACAAGATAGGAGAATGGTTTGAAGGAGTACGGCATTGCAACACTTGGGCAATCTGTCAAGAGGAAACCTCCCGAGAGAACTTTCTATTGTAAACTGGCCTCTATTTAGGTGTTGCAAACGTGAAGAAAACCCGAAAACTTCGGTGTTCAGTGGTTTTATCCACTATATTCTCGAACATTATCTCTATTAATTTCCGGAATTAGCTAATAAGAGTGGAGAAAATTAATTAATTAAAGGATCAAATCAAACATCATAATTAAGTACAGAATTAAATGCTATGGACATTTTATTTAAAGACAATTTAAGTATAATATGAAAGTACTGTATTAAGTACAAGGTAATATCATATGAAAATCACATTTCTAAGCAGTGATTTTCTCACTGCTTAGAAATGAAAGAGCCCATTAAATGCCTTGGCCGAAACACCTGGAAAGAATAGAAATCTACATAGCCTTCGGGAGAGGGAAGGCAATTCGAAGAGACAAGACAATCTCTATTTCATCAGCCTGGAGAGCTCTATTTGAGTTGGCCTAATTCAATGCATGGTATCTGACATACGCAACTTTGCGCCTTCGATATATATTTTGAAAAAAAAAAAAAAAACATTCTATTCTAAGATTTTAATTTTAACTTTTTGTTCTTCCCTTCATGTTCTATCATCAGTCAAACCTGTGTATGTTAATTGAAAAGTGGCATTACATTTGTCTGTTTTTCTTTGGTAAAGATAAGCTTGGTGCTTGGAGGAGAAATACAGGCAAAAGTCTTTAGAAAACAATAATACAGGCAAAAGTCTTGTGTGTACCGCTTGGAATGTCTTGTGTGTACCATGCTTAGCTTTACCATGGAAACACTAAGAAAAATTTTATATCGTTTTCTTTTTCTATTACGTAATTTTGTTAAGAGAAAGAAAAATTTCTCTTACCATTTCATTAATAACAGGAAGAACTATTGTAGTAATGGACATGTTGCTTACTACCTCTGTTAAAGCTGACGTTACGAAAACTAATATGAGTAACACAACTTGAGGAGACAGAGAACGAAGATGAATAAGCTGACTTCCTAACCAAGTGGAAAGTCCCGATTTCTTAAAAGAAAAATAATTAGACTCTATAATATTATAATAAAATTAATGTTTTAATAATTTTAAAAATGGAAATTACCTTAGAAGCTTCGGCCACAGTAAATCCACTTCCTAGCAGTAATAGAATGCCCCAAGGTATCTTCTTTTGAGCAGTTTTCCAGTCTAATAGTGAAGGACTGGTCTTCATACTACTCGGTTTCGCTGGTATTACGAACAGAAAAAGGCATACGGCAATGGCTGGAGTAGCATCTCTTATTCCTCTATAAAAAATATCACATATAATAAATCATCTAACGAATAATGTATCTTATGAAATAGAAATTAGTAAATTATCTTGCTTACGATCCATAAGGAAATAAAGAAGACCATCCCGTGATAAACTGTGGTTCTCTCAAGAACCACAAAAATACTAATATTGTAAAGAGACCAAGAACTGCAATTTCGTGAAAACTGAAAGATAAATTTGTTACAGATTTAAAATACTATAATCTAATTAAAACAACTCACAAAAGAGATTTCGTATATTTACCTAATACTTCCTAATTCTTCGTATGATTTTTGAATAACATTTTTAATTACATTCTGTGCATCTTTATCGGTAGTGGTACTATCGAATAAAGTAATTATCATATGAAAATTTAAATTTAATGTATAGACCAGAGGTGAGCAACCCTTGGTACGCGTGCCATTGAAAAACTCCAAGAAAAAACTTTCCATCGCAGATATAACGATTTTGACACGCACACTTAAAGAGCTCTGTTGCCCACTCCTGTTATAGACTTTAATTTGACTTACCAACATCCAACGAACATAATTTGTAGAATAATCCAAGATAAAATGACGCATACGATCATGGCGGGTGCATTGTAGAACAACCAAGATGCAAACGTTAATTCAATTGATTTTGGATAGGTACTGCGGCATTGACAAAACAATACATTAAATTATGTTAACGGTCGATAATTTATAATGGAACTTACTCTTCCATGAATCCTTTGAGAACTAAATTTGGTCCGGAACCGATAAGAGATCCCGTTCCTCCACAATTTGCTGCGTAAGCTACGCTCAAGAGCAATGCCTTGTTTAATGTTTTGTAATTAATTTCTTTTCCGTTTGTGAGAGAATCTTCTGAACTAAAAATTCTATTTTTTAGTTATGACTAATTAAAATAATTTTTATGTTTTATTTTCCAAAAAATTTACCTTTGAACTAATGTATTAGGAATGGTATCTATTGTATTTACAGATTCTTTCCTGTTCTGTGTTGGAATGTAGAGCACTAGATATAGTAATATCTATAATTAATATAATTCTTATATGCAAATTTGTAAACAGATTCAACGATTCAAATTGAAATTCATGTATGACATATATTATATATTGAACAACATGTAACATACATTATTTCGAATTTTAATTAACATTAAAAATCCCTCTGAGATCAATCATTCCTGTTGAAAGTACCTAAACTGACAATGGTGCTTTTTCATTCTTTATCGATAAAGCAAACATTCTTAATCGTGTGGGATTTTTAAGCACACTTTTAGCAAGTATGCATTTAAAAAATGAATAATCAAAATATTAAAACGTATAATTTAATAGCGATTTTAATCAAACCAAGCAATCTTCACTCCATGTATGAAAAGAAAAAGATCAATAACTTGTAACACATTTGGCAAATTCTACATTTATCATTTTATAATAATTTAATTACGTGATATTAAAGGACCTACCGACATTCTCGTCTTTACTGCGAAAGCACTTTTCGTTTTCTGCGTGTTTTCTCAGTTCGTCCATAACTGCTTCGACAATGGGTACCATCATGGCAGTCGTTGCGGTGTTAGATATCCACATAGATAGAAACATGGTCGTTATCATGAATCCCAACATTAGCCTGGAAGACTTTATTCGATTATTTCGTTCTATGTGACGCCTCTTAGTCGAATATACCTACCATCTGACACCGGTTCCTATCGTTAAAAGAACTTTTAGAGCAATTCTTTTATGCAAATTGCAATGCTCTACTGCTGATGCTATAGTTAAGCCTCCGACATACATCATGATTGTGTCCTTGAAAATTTTAATAAAAATTTATTAAGATTATACAGTATGTAATTTAGAATCGTATGCAAATAGTTATTTTTAAGTAAAAAACATCAAATAATTGTGAAATAAATATTTAAAGGTGTTTATGTACTGTACAAGTAGCATCCTACTGGTCATTTGGATCTGTCACAGAAACTAGGCGACACTGACCATGCAGTCGCATGACGTAGAAATTGCAGTGTGACATCAGTGGGGGAGAGAAAGGAGGGCAAATGGTGATTCGGATAATTGAACTTCGGTTAATTGGCATTCGGATTATTGGACATACAAAGAAATATAAAGCGTGATCGTACTTCACAGACACGGTAAAAGAAAAGATTTCTTCTGTGAATTAGAGTGTTTTTGAAACAAGACGGTAAAAGTTTATCAAAGAAAATATAAATGTACGTGTAATTTATATAGAAGATGGTCACGAATTCAAAAAAGTTTACCTACTAATTATACAATGATAAATGCTATAAAATGTGAATGAATGTTCAAAAATCTCATGCTTATAGTAAAAAAATTTATGTTAAAATATTTATACTTTCATGTAAGGTGTGCACGTTTCTGCAGTAGTAAGCACTCCCAGAAGAGGAAAGAGAACCACTGGAATAAGAGCAGTTACAGCCAACGGAAGAGGCTCCGTCATAAAATAAATTGCCATAATNAGTGGCCCCCCAACATTTTTACATCTTTGGACTTAGAAAACCTTTAAACGTCTAGAAGTGGGGATTTTTCTATTTGAATGTTTGTGTGAGGGGTATGATTTTGTTAACCCAATTTGGAGCTTCATAACTCATGTGCTTTTTGTCAAAAATTTCTAAAATTTTGCAAGGAGGTTAATGCTATTTAATTCTGGTGTTAAAGGTCGAGGTCTTGTGGAAGTAGAGGGGAGATCTTGTGTCATATCTCGAGTGGATTCGGACTTAATGAAGATTTTATTCGTTATTTATAATGATTAATAATATAAAATAAATATAACAGATGGAGCCACACGTAATTTTAAGTGTTTTTGCCGGGAAATTTACACAACTCGTTGCTGAAGATTTTTGTAAGAGAGCATGAAAATGACGTCAAATTGACGTAAAAATATACACCATCCTGACATAATGGACATGCCTGTAGCCAACTAAATAGATACAGTAAATAGCAAACGACATTTAAATTTAAAATAAATCGATAGATAAATGACAATGGATATCTCTCAGTTTTATAACTAGTTCACAGAAGTAATAATTTTCATTCTAAAAAAAGTAATTTCCTTTCAGCTATTCAAATAATTCTATAACCTTGAATAACTTATATTAAAATTCTCTTAACATATTCATTTATATCTCTTTCATAATTATTATAATTGTGATATAGGTGTCGAAAATGCGGATTTTAACGACATACGAGAGTTTCTCAACGGGTGGATCGCGACTTTCCTGTGTTTTTTTCTATATTGTCGAGGCCTTCTGCTATACTAAAACGGGGTTGTCGATTAAAAAATATTGTGAAATATTGACCTAAACCATAAATTATTCTTGTCAATGTATAGACAATATGGCAAATTTTAATGATTACAAATTTGTACTGTTTTTTAAATTATTTATTTGATTTTAAGTCTATGTATAATAATAGTAGAAGAATTTAAATATATATTAAAATAAACAATAGACCTGTTCGTAAAAATACTAAAGGTAATAATAATAATATAGTAATTATCCTTAAGTTCCAAAGCTCTGTAATAAATTCGGCATTATGAAAGGGTTATTTACGGAAAATCTATATTGGACAATTGTGGTTCCTACTCTTAAAAATTTAGAGAAGTGTCTCAGATACAGTGGAGGTATTGCCGATTTTAAAGCTCGATTTAGATCAATTCCTATTATTAGAAGTACTCAAATTAAAGGGTTTTACTGTATATATTTGCCTTCTATATCTACTAATTTCTTAGAATTTTCAATACAGATATTGCTATATATATAATTAAAATGCTATATAATATAACAATTTAATTGTATTAAATATAAGGCAGTCTAATCACGCATTCGACTCACCTTAGTTTCTATGCAAAGAAGAAGAGGAAGAAGAGCCAAAGGAACAATTATCAGCACTAAAGTTCTCCAAGGAACAGCTTTACGGTCGAACATTCTAGCGAAAATAATATTCTTAACCATTACAATGCAGTACCTGTCTGGCAACTAACCACTCACGGACGTCGACTTATACTAAAGCAATTGTTACAACGAATCGTAAATATTATATAGTCTACTTTTTAATATTATTCAATGACGCGGTCTAATGTTAATTCGATAATTTTAGTATTTTTACGTAAATTTTAATGCGTTGCTTCATCCAAAACAAAAATAAACTTTGCCAAATTTTACGTGTTCTGAATTAAATTTAAAAAAATTAAATATAAATATTAAGCAGAAAAACAATAAGCATTGTATGTAATTCGAAATTTACTACATAATCGAATTTTAATTCTTTTAATTTAGAAAAAAACCTCGAAGTCCACGAGTCCAAAAATGTAGAAATTTTTGACTGATCGCCATACTTTTCCTCTGTTTTATATAATAGCAGGGAAGGTAATAACTTTGGAACACATAGTTTTATATTTAAAACCATTTAAAAGTGAATGGATAAGATACAGCAAAGCAACACGTGGTAATCTGTCAAGGGGAAGATGTTCTGATGGGAGAACTTTCAATGGCAGACTGGCCTATATCTAGGTCTTAAACACGTAAAAATAAAACCAGGAAAACTTCACGTTGTCAGCTCGTTTGTCAAGTTCGAACTCACCAACAATTATCAATAATTTTGTTCCAGTGTTTGGTGGTTATATCTGCCCCGGCCTATTTTAATAATAGATGGACACCCATAAATTTAAAAAAGAAAACGACAAATGATAAAGTTATCGTGATAGATAAGATTAAAATTTTAGAATTTTGAGAATTATTTATTACTCATGGACCTTTCTCCGTATCAACAACTGCGAGGTGAACATTTACTTGCTTAATGAATGACTAAAGATAAATTCAGTACAAAGCAAAGTGTTTAACTGATTTAAGGTATTTTAAAATTGAAATTCGGTTACTGCATTGTAATTAAAAATTGAGAAGGATCGAGAGGATCGTGTGAAGATCCTCCAACTCGAAATTAGATTAAATTCGAGTGTCTTCAAAGAGATGCGGTGGAGATGTATGAGGGGACATCGTGGATCTATACATTTTTACTTTCCTGGTTGTTATATATCGGAGGAAAATGATGGCAATAGATCAAAAAATGTCCTCCCCTCAAGATTTTTACGTTTTTTGAATCAGGGCACCATCGAAAAATGCTAAAACATTCGGATTTTTTTCTGTGTATGTGGATGTTACTGTGAATGAGAGGCACGATTACCTACTTTAAAACTCAATAACTCCTGTGCCTTTTATCGAAAATTTCTGAAATTTTTCAAGGAGGTTTGCGTGTTAGACAAAAATATTTCTAGCAATTTTCAGAAAAATTGGACTATTAGTTCGGGAGATATTAAAAGCGGGTGGAACTACATTTGAAGAAAGCTTTCAAGTTATGAAATTTGTTTTACTCGTACAAATTTTTAGTTTATCAAAAAAATAAACTAAAATAACCCCTAGAAAGTCTTCCCGGAAGACGTCTCCCTTCGGAATGGCTGCAGGATTTTCATAAACAATAAACCGAACCATTTAGATCTAAGTTTAGTATCTAAAAAGGATTACAGAGAAGGAATTCAACGTATATCTTCCACCCTTGCTTTCCATACACCCGTTTACATTTCATTAACGGGTCAACTACTTAATCATTTTACAAAACTATAAATTAAATGTTCACCTTATTTTGACCTAAATCGATTTTAATTCCAACCATTTTTAACTCCTTACATTATTCGTGTCGAGGTCGATGTATTACGAAATTTTTTTAAATATCATTTATCACCTTTACTTCTACCGTTCGATGAATTTTATTTTCGAAAAGAATAAATAAATATTTATTTTAATTTAAAATTTATAATATTTTCTATAAGTGTATATTTTAATCATTTTATTTATTACGGAGAAAAGCATATATCGTCAGCAGAATTTTGAAAATTTTGCCAAATAATTCAATTTCTTAGTGATGACGAAACTGTTTCGTAAGTTGAAATTTGAATTTCTATTACTTTATATATTATTATTTATTTTAATTATTTCTTTCAAGTACGTTGTTCGAGGCAAAATGAATACAAAGATGAAGGTGATTTGAAAGAAAAACATCAAGAAAAACATCATTTTTATAGCAGCATTGACTACTCAGGAAGGTCTTTTGAATACCCTCCTTTCAGAGAATCCAATGTTTTTTTTTAAGTATAAATATATTTAGTTAGGAATATAAAGATAGAATATATTGATTTATTTGTTTACATATGGGCGATCTGCCGAGGAGGGGTGCCACCAGGGAGGATTTTCTATGGAAAACTGGCTCCTATTTAAGTATTACAGATTAACTATCAGTGTTCGGTGATTTTATCCACTCGCCACTGGTGAGAAAGATATAAACAAGGACGCTCGTACAGTACATTGTGGCACTTTGGGCACTGTTTCCCTTTGTCATCGGATTGTTCTTTTCTTAATTAATCTCCAAGGAAGCTCTAAGGTTTCATTTTATTTTTAAAACAGTTACTCATTTTTATCACAGAAAACCATTTTGCTAATGACAAAATTGAAATAAAAATATTTGTTATTAACCGAAAATTTGTTATAAAGGATCGTGATAGTTCGATCGAGTACCGAGGTACAGTCCCACTGTATTTGATTATTGCTATATTGATATACGCGATAGCATCGAGGGATTAATTAAACTGTATTTATATACTGTATATTTTATAAAATGTACTGAACATATGATGCCCAATTTTATAGTCTGCTGGTGCCGCTGGCAAGATAAGATATAAATGTAACATTTTAGTATAAAGTAGGAATATAATCCATATTATGGAGAGGTAACATTATCAAATCATACAGGCTTGGCTACTCATTCACTAGTCTTTGTGTTAAGTGGTATATTTACAAGGTGAAATAGACTGTTGCATTTAATATAATTAAATATAGTGAAGATGTGGGATTAATTGTCAATGCTGTAACATCTGATATGAATTTATAAATCAGGCAATGTGGAAAGCCTTTGGTATTGTTAGTGAAAAATTTTGTAAATGTGTAGGCTATATTATATTCCACACCCTTATACATGTTTTGTGTCGTTTTGTAACGTTTATTTAATCTATTTTTAGAACCTAAATAAGCGACTTTAATTATTAACATTCAGGATATTAAAAAAGAAATAAGAATTGGCTCTTCACTCATCGCGTAAATAAGTGCTAGATTATTTCCATTTCCCCAATTAAGTATAGTATAAACGGTAAATAGGCAGTTTGAAAAAGACATGGAGGCAGCTATCTGTATAACCATTCTCTCACCATAAGCTCTCTACCGTGAGTGACTATAGAAGGATTGATAGAGTAAGGCAAAGGAATACAACGATGATTTGCCAAGGAGGATTCTTTTTATGGTAAACTAACCCTAAGTGTATTAGACACGTGAAGAAAATCTGGAAAACTCCATGCAGCCACTGATGGGTCTTTTACAATACGGGATTCTTCAAAAAATGTTTCATTTGTAT